TTTTTTTTTTGATCGATCGCGATTTAAGGGACTCGACCCTCCGCCGAGGCGATATTGATGTCACGACCACTTTAGGCCCTAGCACCGGCCGCAGCCCTAGCCCCGAGCCCAATCGTGCTAATACCGTTTCAATCCATGGAGACAACACGGTGAATAAATTCGATGGCGATAATCATACGGGCAATAACTGTTCTGAACCTGAATTGCTACCGAAGGGGAATTTAAAGGAAGAGGTGAATGAGGTGATGTCACTCAAGTTTCAATCGTTTCTCAAATCGAACCCACATATACATAAAATATACGTGAAATATACACTTGAGATTCTCGTAATTCAAACCAGTTACAGATCGGGACACACATATACGTAAAACATACATAAAATATACACTCAAGTTTCAATCGTTTCTCAAATCGACCCACATATACATAAAATATACACTCAAGTTTCAATCGTTTCTCGAACCGAACCCACATATACGTAAAATATACACATGAGATTCTCGTAATTCAAGTCAGTGACAGATCGTGACACACATATACATAAAATATATATAAAATATACACTCGATTTACGTGATCATGTATGTTCTGTAGAACCAAAAATTCCACGTCTTTTCACAGAGCATGATAATTATTAGGTAATATAGATTACCTTTTCTTTTTCAGAACAAAATCCTAATTATTAGGTATTATAGATTACTTTTTCTTTTCAGTTTAACGTGATTGTAGGAAGACTAGTACGTACCCCGTGCGATGCACGGGACATATATATTAAATGAGTTATTTTCACAGCATTGTCCGTTTAAGTCTAAAAAATATGAGTTTTTTTTTTTTTTCACATCTTTTAACCAGCGTTGTTATTTTAGCCAGAACATTAAATATGAGCATGTTAGGGCTAGCTTGTAAAATAATTAATATATTATATAACTAAAATATTTATGCTAATAAAAATCTAATTTTAGCATATAAATTTATCCCTTGATATAAGAGAAAGTAACAATTTTATTTATTTTTGTTCACCATATAATATTTAATTATTATTTTATTATATAATAAAAAAGTATACTGTTAAATAGTGTAGTAGAATTGTTATAAATTTATATGAATTATTATTTTTTACAATATGTATTTAATATCTTTTTATGATTTGATAATATAAACAAATCTATACTTACCTTTGACTTTTCCAGCAAAAGTAAAAAAATCGATTTTGATTTTTATCCCATAACAAATCTTTAATGTCAAACCTATAAATACCAAAACAAATATGTAATTAATGTCATTCTATTTCCAGCAAACATTAATTACCTTTGACTTTTCTGCCTACTATTTCTATTAAATAAGATGTCTTTTTATATAAGTATAGATTGTTTTTTAATTAAATTTGGTAACGGATATTTAGGTAACTGATTTTGTTTTATCACCAAATAACAACAATACGGTATGCATGCAATTAATGTACACCACTTCGGATTTTTATAAATATTTTAAAATCTTGTGGTATGTTAAAAAATTCACCAATAGTTATCAGTCTATTCTATCATTACACAAAAAATTTACTTGTAAATGTATATACGGTTTACTAAATCAGTCTATTCTATCATTACACAAAAAATTTACTTGTAAATGTATATACGGTTTACTAATTATTGTGAACTTTAAGAAGATATATGTGGACTGCAATAAACAACAAGACCCCCATTATAGAAACATTATTAGAGGTAGACATGGATTGAGATTTTCTATTATTTTTTATTCATGTTTATTTTATCTATCCACCAATAATACTTGCTAAAATTTAAATTCTCCAAATGGTGTATTGGTAACTTTTTATTTGATGAGGATAACATTGAGTTAAAATTGAAGTATTGTAGTTAGAGGTGTAATCATCCGATCAAGTAGGAGCTCTTGATGTACGAGCTTGGACTCGAGCACTTACTGAGCGAAACTAACTTAATCTTAGCTATACAAGCTTATAAACGGGTTTGGGTTTGAGCTCAATCCTTTATCCAACCAAGTTGATCTTTACTGAACGAGCTCAAACTCGACCTATATATCACTATTACGTGTCAAATCTCGTCTTAATGAAACGAGCTCAAGCTCTAACGAGCCAACTCGAATAACCAGCCAACTATGATAACAATTAAGAAAAATGCGTAAGTATCCTATTATCGAGCTTTAAAGAGTTGAATCCAAATTGACTCGTTTACTAAATAAAGTCGAGTTTGGCATTTTTATCAAATAAGTCAAACAGAACCAAACTCCAAGCTTGATAAGACGAACCGTACCAGAGTTATATCTAACTGCTCATGTTATAACATGTATCATGTAGTGAATTAAATGAAACTTAGAATCATATGTTACACTTGTTTCCAATTATTTCTATTTTGTTATTTTAACAAACAATTAAATGATATTTCAATGGATTTGTTTGCAATGTGACGAGGGAATTTCTAGAAAGTACGTGATCAAGAAAAGTTATTCTTGCTTCCAAGTCACTGCAAAATCCCACTAGTCAAGTTAAAAGCGAATGTTAATGTGATTGTTAGTCAAGGCATATATTCTCATATTCCTATTATAGGGGGGTATTATTCTTCATGCTACTTATAGTCTTTCAATTACAATATTTGCACAAGTATGGTTTCAGTGCCATTGCTACTTTGGGCGATATTGGATATGAAATAAAAGCTATTTTACTTCACAAATAGATTTTTATTCTTTATTTTTTATAATAAAAGTAGATTGTATATATATATATATGTTATATTTTTTCTCACCTTAAAGTATATAATTAAACATTTAAACAATATATTCATTTAAAGAAAAATTAGAAGGAAAGGATATTGAATTTAAATACCAGTTACCATTTAATTAGACACGAAACTTACTTGAACATCGTTGTCGGTAATAGTCAGCAGTTCCCATTGTAATTTTTTATTAGTCCGTGTTTTCTTTTCCAGAAATGCTATAGGATAATAGGTACATATTGTACACAGAGTTGTACATAACACTCACATTAAGTCGGTCTTATCAAAAATAAAAAATAAGTAAACCTCACTCATATAAGTGTTATGTACACTTTTATTTATATTTCTTATGTATTTATAGCATTTCCTTACATTTATTATTTATATACTTGTAGCATGTTTTCTTTTCATTTTTCAGTTTAACGTTTTCTATATTCAAATAATCCCTCTTCACCTTTTGTCTGTCACCTTTCTACTCTGTCTCTTCTCTCTCTCTCTCACACACTGTGGTCAGTTCAGTACACTGCAGCTGTAAGCAGAGAGGTAAACGTTGCGTGCCGCTGCTCGATCTCTTTCGCCCGAGACTAATTTTCCTGCAAGAAAGTAGCTTTTTCTTCTGGTAGTTTCCTTTAATTATTTGGTTCTTCTTTTTAAGTTTTGCTCAATAAACTCTGTACTTAGACTTGGAGAAACAAATTGAGTTTCATGGCTGGTGGATAAAATGGCTCCTTGCTTTTTTGTAATATTCTTTAATGAGATCCAATTCATTTTATTTTTCCTTCTCTTGTAACAAGCAGACTCTGCAATTTTTCTTCTTTAGGAGAGAGTGATGGTGTGAAAAAATTGTTCTTGTTTGTGTGTGTTGTGTGTGTGTGTGTGTGCAGGCTTAAATCAATGGAGGCGAGCAGTAAAGCTCGAATGAGTATCGGCGAGATAGGCATGGCAGAAAACCTGCAAAAACAGAGTGATTTCATCGTACACGTCCATGGAGATGACAAGGTTTCAAAATCCCCAATCTCAGATGCTCAAAATTCCCCAAATTTCCAACGATTAGCCGATTCGCCTCCTAAAACATCCAATGCCTCGACGCCCACTGCTCAAAAATCACCTGAAATCGCAAGGATTGGCCCAAGCTCCAACAAACCCCCCAAAATCCCCAAATCTGAAACCCTAACTCGTAGAAAATCATTCTCGAGGTCGGTTTACTCAAAGCCCAAGTCCAGATTCGGCGAACAGTCTGTACCAATCGATGGTAGGATGCCCGAAGAAAACCGGCTGTCGGCCGATGGGAATGTGATGTCCAGCCGGAGCTCACCACGTGGTGAATCAAACAGGGCTATGCCCATAACCCCCAAAACGCCATTGATAACCATCGAAGGAGTTGATGAGGATGAGGAAATATACAAAAAGGTCAGCAGCAGAAAGAAACTCAAATACAGAAAAGTGAAAGCTAAGGTTCTGATCGAGTGGTTGCTGTTCCTGTGTATTCTCGGCTGTTTGATCACGGCATCAACTGTTGATAGGTTGCGGAAGCTAACGGCTTGGGGTTTGCAGCTCTGGAAATGGTGCTTGCTTGTTTTGGTCACGTTTAGTGGCTTGCTGGTCTCCGAGTGGCTGATCAGTTTGGTTGTCTTGTTGATTGAGCTGAACTTTCTGCTGAAGAAGAAAGTGCTGTATTTTGTGTACGGACTGAAAGATAGTGTCCGGGCCTTTCTTTGGTTTGCTCTGGTGCTTATTACCTGGGTTTTGCTGTTCCAGGAAGGGGTAGAAAGGTCCCATCATACGACCCACATTTTGGACTTCATAACCTGGACGCTTGCTTCCATGCTTGTTGGTGCATTCTTATGGCTGTTGAAGACTTTGCTGCTGAAGATTCTAGCGTCCTCTTTTCACGTGAACACCTTCTTTGACCGGATTCAGGAGTCAATTTTCCACCAGTACATATTGTTTACACTTTCGGGACCTCCGGTAATGGAGTCAGCTCAAATGCTGGGGAAAACGAGCAGTAACGTGAGTCAGTTTAGCTTCCGCGTGAAGAAGAAGGATAAGGAGGGAAAGGAAAAGAAGGAGAAAGATGTGATCGATATGAACAAGCTTCACCGGATGAAGCATGAGAAGGTTTCTGCGTGGACTATGAAGATGTTGGTTGATGTGATATCTAATTCGGGCCTCACCACACTTTCGAATGCGATTGATGAGAGTGCGTATTATGGAGGTAATGAGCAAACGGATAAGGAGATCACTAATGAGGAGGAGGCAATTGCTGCTGCGTATCACATTTTCAGAAATGTGGCCCAACCTGGTTGCACGTGAGCTCGAAAAGCCATCTCTGATATGTGTTGAGAATTTTTTTTAACTGTGTTTGAAGTTTAGCCTAAACTCGAACAATGTTAACTTGCAGATTTCTTTCATATTTTCTAAGAAAAAAAAAGAAGAATAAGAAAAGCA